AGGGCTCGCGAGGGAGTGCAGAGCAGGTTGCCAAGGGACGGCGGAGCCGTGAGTTCAAGGCAGGTGGGTTGATGGCCACACGTGTGCGTCCGCTGGCCGCTTTTGGCTGGGCGACGGGGCCTTTGCTGCGATGTGAAGGGCTCTTGTCACAGCAGTAGTGGGTAAGAGTGGGACGTGCCATTTGTCGTTGTTGGTGTTACCTGGGAAAGCCTTCCCTCTGCCCTTCCACAGGGGTGGAAGTGGACCGCAGGGTCTGTGGGAAGGCGAGAGAGCTGCGCTGCTGTGCTGTCTCCCTGCCGAGGGTGCAGTCTCTGGCTTAATGTATCTTAGTTCAATCTGTGTAAAATACACAGTAAAATAAACAGGATTCTGCAAAAACCCATGGGGCAGGTGTAGGAATAAAACATGTCTTTAAGATCTTATGCAGTTGCCTGAGCAGGACAACTCTGAGTTTGTAATTCTTCCTATTACCTCAAAGCTAAAAGTACTAATGAGACAGACAGGAGAAAGAGCCTTCTGCTGCTACTGTGTTCCTACCGACAAAATATAAGTTTATCTCTTTGAAGAGACTTCTGCTTAGCTCATGTCTTGGCATTTGCTAGTCCTGAGGAGGGTAGGGAGTACCTTTGGGGGTAAAGCATGCGTAGATGGGTGCAGGGTGTTCCAGTGGAGGCTGAAGTGGGCTGCTCTTGAGGCAGTTATATTTTGCCCTTGTTTTATATGAGAAAAGAATGGAGGGCTTGGGCTCTCTGGCTGATCATCGACGAAGCATGACCGAAATAGTTCGGGTTACCTGACGCTAGATCTCCAGACCTGGCAGGCATGTAGGAACCCCCCCTTGGTGGGGCTGCACTCAGCTGGGTGGGCAGTGAGCAGCTGTGCTAAGGAGACCCGCTGTACGGAGGGCCAGGAGGAGCGTGGCAATGCTTGCTGCTAAGCTCTGTGGCTCAGGAGCCTCTGTCACAGCTGTGTGACACGGGGCTTGAAGTACTCTGGCTTGAAATGGTCATTACCATCTTCAAATAAGGGGGAAAAGTTTTCGTTCTTTACTGTGCTCCGTGTGATGTTTTGAGAGGCATTTTATTACATTTGCAAAACATAATTTACTTTGTTTGAAAATGGGGAAGATAATTCTTGGATTCTGCAGAGCGTGGTGAGGCTCAGCTGGCGTGCTGCTGGTTCATGTGGGCTAGCCAATTCCCAAGTGCTGCGTGTGAGCAGGGGGAGAGGGAGGAGGGAATGGAGGAAAAGGTCCATCTGTTTCTGTTCTGGTTTATTCTCGGAGAAAAAGTTAATACTGTCCAACGTAGCTAACTGCATGGTGTCTTCTGGGTGCTTCTAGACAACAGCTGTTCCAGTTGGTCTTGGATACTCCACTGATTTCATCTCCATTGGCCTGTAGCAGACATTCAGCTGGCAAAAGCCACGTTCGGAGTCCTGTTTCTTGTCCAGTTTTAAAAGAAGGGGTGCCAGTGATTGACAGTTTCTTGAAAAAGGAAAAAGTTTGCACCTCAGCAAAGGCAGACAGCCTGGCAGGAACAGAGCAGAAGATTTTCAAAACTGAGGAAGACCATAAGCTTTACAGCAGTTCTGCAGAGGTTGATGGTAAAGACAATGAAGTGGGATCACGAGAGAGTCCCGAGTGCACCAAAAGTCACGAAAAGCCTTCTACATCTGTAATAAAAGTAGTCAGGAAAGGTGAGATGCTGAATTTTTGTTTTTGTCCTCTTCTCTTCCCCAAGTCCGTGGCTGTGGTTGGCTTCATGCATTAGAGTACCTTCCGTACGTGGCATTCATCTCCTTTCTCCACGTTGTTCTGATCTGCACTGGCATGCCCAGATGCTTTGTGGTGAACTGGACTGTTCATGTGGGACAGCTCTGCTCCAAGCGTATTCATCTTGAAGCTTGGGCTGATGCCAAGTAATTAAATGGAGTTCAACACTTACAGATTCCTTTGCTTTGAGTAACAACTCCAGAAAAACAATAGTTGCACCAGACTTACTCAGTAAAAAATGAGAGGTCCTTTGCTCTTCTCTTTCCCCTTAATGACTAGACAGACAGCATCACCGTTCATTCTGCTCTTGTATCCTCAAGGAACAAGAAGAGAAGCAAGGTATTTTGTGATGTGTTGGTTATTGGAGGGGTGCACCTGCGATCAGAATGATCGTGGCTTCAGTTTTGTTAATAGCCCTATTCATACACTCTCCAGAGGAAAGAAATCTACTTTATTCTTCTGTAATTCTATAGCGTTCAGATTAATTTATTTTGAAGCCCGAAAATGCCCATTTATTCTAATCAACTACAATAAAATGACAGAATCCTCTCAGTTTTGAGATGATGGCAGCCTTCCTATTGACCTAATTAAAAGCCTAAATTAAAATAAAAGACCATGTAGAAGTACAATACTGATTCTTATTAGTTCATATTTATCTGTTCTTTTGTTTAACAATTTATTCAGCTGGAACTCTGAAGTTAATTTTTATTCATTAGCTGGGTAAATACTGCTTAAAGATGTAATACAGTCAGAAAAGTAGCCGTGAGAAAGTGGCATCAGCTTGGCCAGAAGTTACGTTTACTAGTTCTGTGCATCAGACTTGCTTGGTTAGTAGTTTAAAACTTGTATGAAATTTTACCACTCGTTTATTCCTGAGTGGTTTATTCTTGAAAATTGAAATTTTCACTTGCTTACCATTTAATGACCTTATTAAATCCCTGAACATGCATGACTTTGAAATTATTTCCACAAATGCAAAGTAGTTGGTCAAACAGTATAAATGAAAGACTGGACAAGAGGCAATGCTGAAGTGGTTTTGGTAAGTATTATTTGTTCCTGTGTTAAGAATTGAAATGTTAACTTCAAATACAATAATGGACTGCTCAGAACTGTGGTGCTATGTTACTCTCCCAACTTTTTTTTTTAACCTTTGATTAGAATATGATGTCATGGGAGTCAGGAATTGCAAAGCAGTGTTACTGGGTAACTCTCTATTCCCACAACATTTCACAGCATTTTTCATGGGTTGTTTTTTTGTTTTGTCTTTAACATCGTAACTGACTTCCCTCACACTAATGCAGAGGGTGTCAGTTAAAGAATCTCGTGTTGTTCATTTGAAGTTAGCCTTTTGTTTTTGACATAAGGTGATTGCTAAAGACGAATATTTTAAGTCTGTGGTTTTTGACTGTCTTTACAGGTGATGTTTGTAGGTGCTTTTTGAAATATGGTGCAGGAAGAATTCTGAGTTGGGTGGGACCACGTACAGAGTGTTTGAGCCTCTGAGCCCCAGTCACAGAATCTAGTTATCTGTACTGAGAAATGAGGCACGGTCGGATCGTAGGAGTTAACTCCTGTGGTGACAGTCCTGTTGACAGCCATAGATGGGGAATATCGTGTTAACATGAATAAAGGTGGTGCTGTGCTCTTCTATCAAAATGAAGCAGCTTCCTTTAACTTCTGCAGTATTTTGCTCCTAAATAAAAACATTAGCACAGAAATATGCTTATGGCTGTGTTAGCCCCTTGGTTTCCATGCAGTATGTGTGTTATTCTAGGTTTTCAGACATTGCATTCCATCTGACTGCAGGGAAGATGAGAGCCATTCTGATATTGCTTACAGAGGGAAATAAGTTTTGTAGAATGAAAATGAGAGCTAAAAATGAAAATTCTGGATAGACATGCCAGATCTTTTAAAAAAAGAAATCTGGAATTCTGGATTTTCATTTTTTTCAATTGACAGTTAGCTTTTCTGCTAAAAACGTTTGCTCTTTGCTGTAACATACACGCTAGTGAATTCCTTCTCCTTTGCTTTCAGTGGATTGTCCTGTTTGTGAGGTTGCTATTCCCGAGCAATATATAAACAAACATCTGGATAGCTGCTTGACCAGAGACGAGAAGAAGGACAGCCTCAGAAGGTAAGAAACAACTGTAAGAATTTTTATATGCATGTAGTTGGTTTTTTGCACTGCTGGAATAAGAAATATTGGTTGATGGGTTATAATACAGTGGGTTGTGTTTGTTTATTGGTTACCTACTGTAAAGATCACTCTAAAATCACTGTATAAATATGATAGTGGTGATTTTCCCCTCTCAAGAAAATACGTGGATCTCCAGCAGAATTACTTTTTGGCTTTTAGTGGCAAGAAAACACTGGACAGTGTTTTAAAAAATTCAACACAGGGAGTGAAACTTTGTCTGTACATTATTCTCGTGACATTTCTGCTTACTAGCATTAATATTCTATTCACATAACACTGCTTCCCATTTTTCACTTGGTGAAGGAATTGTTTCCCTCCATTCAGATGGGCCAAAAGACAATTGCTTCGCTAGCTGTCAAGTTAACAAAATAAAAATTCCACCTTACTCTGCTTGCTGTCGTTCTGTTCAAGTTCCCCAGTCAAGGTTGTTTCTCTAAGATCTCAGTTCCCGTAGGATCAGTGCGTGCCTTTGCCTGTATGCCTCTGCCCTAGAATTTGTCACGGTCGCCACATTCACATCAGAAGTGTAGATTTCAGTTTGTTTTACTTACTAGCATAAATTTAGGCCATTATTATTTTTAATGATCAGACCTAAGAACTGTGAGGGACTCTTACTGCATGCTTCTATTTCCAATTCCTCTGAACCCTGAATTAGAAAGTAATTTTATGTTAAAGCTCTTATTTTGCCCAGTCATGCGTAGAATGCGATCTATAAGCTAAAGGACTTTGAAGATGAATAAATGGTAAATTAATACTGAAATCTGATGTTACATTTTAACTTTCATTTGAGATGTTTTTAGTGTTTTCTCAGTTCTTAATTAACGGAAATAAAAGCCAGACCTTCCTTTGGTGTCAAACATGTTGGACATGTCCCTAGCAGAATTTTAAACTGTGCTTATTTTATCTAGACTGCTTGGATCTTAAGAAAGTATCATACCAGATATTTCTCCCTAGGGACTGGCTGTTGTGTGTTAAACGCTAGCTTTTTGGCAATCTGTTTGTTTTGTGGCAGTGCTGTTCGGGTTCCAGTAGGAGCACATCTCTAGTTCTTCTTGGAGGACGTTTAGCTCTGTTTCTTCTCAGATTAGGAGCGCAAGGCATGCTATGTTAACAGTTCAGCAGTATTTCAGCCAAACTGATACTTTAGTCCCCAAAACCTGCACAGGAATGATTACAACAGGTAAGTGTATGTTCACAGAGAACAAAAATAAAAGGAAAAAACCCAAAAGAAACACTGCATTTCTCAAGGATGGGAAAACCCCCACCGCCATGAAGCTTCAAAACTGTTGTGAACTGTTACCACGTAGCTGTCTGCTCGCAAAGCTGTCATCACTCTTCTAGGTCATGCTGCTGGTGAGTTATAATGCAAAGCTTTTTTAGGACTTCCTGAAGATTTAATTACTCAGTGAAATTTTTTATATTTCCCAAAAGAATCTGAAAGAAGTTTTTTCCTGAAGAGTGTATTGTGGTAATGCATCTCTTTTTTTCCAGCTATGCTGTATGAGGGGCTATTTGAGAGTAAATAATTTTTTTTTTAACTTTGAATTTTATTTTCAACGTGGTAAATTGAAAGTGCTGAATACAGTTTTCAGATAAGTCTTTTGCTTTCACAATGGAAAACTGTTAACTTCTCTGTAATTTAGAGCAGTGCAGCTAAACTTTATTTTGCTGCAGGAAGAAAAGTGTCTAACTAACTAAATGCTGTTCTTCTGTAACTGATAAATTAAGTTGAAGACGAGCGAGGCAGTAGATGGATCTCGGTACCTTTGTTGGCTAGTTTGAGTGTATTTCACCAGGAGGCATAGGGAAGACGGAGCTAATTTGTGCAGAAGGAAACTGTTCTGCTAATTTTAGATGACAAAAGTTTTAGTAGGACTTGGATATTCTACGGCAATTTCCTGTAGTTAAGATGTTTTCCTTAGCTGTGGCAGGAACGTTGAGTTCTTCTGACATAAGGCAGTGTGAAGGAGTAGATTTTGGTTTCAGATGTTACTGTTCCAAGAGCACTATTAATGCTCTTTAATGTCACTTTCTGTATTGCCAAGCCACCCTTCTGTTAGATGGGAGCTGCGTGTTGGCTTTCAGGTACATGGCTGACTATCTTGAAGTCATTTTCCCAGAAAGCTGTGAAAAACCTCCTAATTTAAATTTTGGCTTGCGGTTTTAGTCGTCTTAAAACTTCTCAGACCTGTTCAGGTTAGATATGGCGAGTGCTTGGGTGGCAAAGCTGTGTTTCAGCAGTCTGAACCCAGGACGCTTCCCTTGGACTTCAGAGCGAGCGTAGGTTTGATCCTGATGAAGAAGAGCAGTGCTGTGTTTGCTGATGTGAGTCTGAGGCCTTTGCTGCAATACTAAAATGGAACCACACTGCTTGTTACACGAGCAGTAGAGTTTGCATCGTTTCCTAAAGAAAATCAGACCTATTGCTTTCTGCACATTTGAAATATTCTTTGTGGTAGATGGAAAAAATGTTCTGGCTTCCTAGAGCTGTTGCCGTTGTGTCTGTGACGCCCTGTGTCGTTGGCTGTGTGTCCGTCGTGGCTGCAATGGTTCTTTCAAGTATTTCTTACTCAGAGTGGGTGAAATGCCCTGTGAAATGTAAGTCAGTGCTTTGATTCTTACTAGATGTATTAATTAAAGTTTGTTTCTTTTTCCTCTTGCAGTTCTGCTCACAAAAGGAAGCCTATGTCTAAAGTTGTTTACAACTTGCTCTCTGATCGTGATTTGAAGAAGAAACTAAAGGAACACGGCCTGTCTACCCACGGGACCCGACAGCAGCTCATTAAAAGACACCAAGAATTTGTGCACATGTATAACGCTCAGTGTGATTCTCTAAATCCCAAATCGGGTAAGTTAGAAATTCTAGGAAAGTTGCTACCGTCGCAAACTATTTGTATGCATTTCTCCTTCTCTTCACTCTCAGGGCAGGAGTGAGGCTGGCTTGAGTGCTTGGGAAAACTGGAGCCGGAAGAATTTTTCTTACATAAATCAAGATTAATGCAAAAAAGGAAATTTAATGAAAACCAGAGATGTATGCTATACTCTGGAAGTATCCAGGAAGGATGTAAATTTGTGCTAAAATCCTTTGATACTGCCTGGTTTACTTACTCTTTTCTGAAAAATGTTGTGTGTTTTTATTGACTTTGCATTTCAATGAGTGCCTCCAAATTAGACCCCGAGGCTTTTAGTCAAAAAATTGGAAATACCTGAGCTTCTTAGTAAGCGAACGGATTATTAATTTTTTTTTTTGTTCTGAATTTGTTCTCTTCTTTCTAAACACTGAGACTTTTATGTTTTTATGGGATTTAATTTGAAAACTAGATTTCTTTCTGGAGATGACAGGTAAGGCTTGAATCAATAAAGTGTTAATGTTTGGCAATTTAGGTGTGTGACAGCAATTTTATACAATTCAACTCAGACTATATAATTAAACTCAGACTATGTATAGCATTAAACAGCTGTAGCAGATAAGGAGAATGTGTTTTAGTCTCTAATGTGAGTGCGACACAAAATTCCTTTAAACTGTGTTCTGTTTGCGTGTGCTCAGGCTTAATGCTTGGAAAATGCCGGGTCTGTCGCAGGCAGGGTGGGAGCCGCGTAGCGTGTTTGTGCTGCCTGTTTTGTAGGCAGTGTGGGCATTTTTAAAGTTTTGCACAGCGTGTATGAGCTAGAGGGAGAACTGTCTCAGTTCATCTTGGTATATTCTATTTTATACAAGATGAAAACATGCATGTTTTTTAAAGATGTCTCATTTATCTTCTCTCAGTTCAGTTCTGCAAGTGATAGGAGTAACAGCACAAATACACTGATGTGTGTGGGTAAGAGACAGACATCAGACTTAGCGTTACATTATTTTTGTATTTGATTAGAAGCTTATGGCCAACAGTCCTTTTCAAGGAATTTCTAGCAGGATCATGTTCCGATAGGACTCTCCCGGGAGCTGCGCAGCCGTTAGCGTCCTGGAAACCCTCCTATAGCTGGCATTGCACGTTCTGCCCTGGTTTCAGGCTGGGGCTTGCTGCCTGCTAGCTCTGCAGCGTCGGCCAGTCCTGCTGCTGGCACGAGCTGGGCTCAGTTACTGCGGAGGTGGAGAGCTGAGAAACACTGTTCCTCTCCTCAGTTTGAGCTCTTTAATTTTCACATTTACAGAGAGACTGAAGTCCTGAAGCGCAATTCAACATTTCTTCCAGAAGCTGTAAACAGTTCTGGATGTTTTTGTGTTTGTTTAAACAAACCGACAGACCGGGTTTGGCCTGGCTGGCAGCGGGCTGCCGGGAGCTGCAGGAGCGCGCAGCGCAGCGCAGCCGGGAGCCGAGCCTGGTGCAGCCGGGAACTGGGCTTGTTCAGCTTCTTCAGCCTGGAGAAGAGAAGGCTGCGAGGGGACCTTAGAAATGCTTACAAATATCTGCGGGGTGGGTGTCAGGAGGATGGGGCCAGGCTCTTTTCAGTGGTGCCCAGTGACAGGACAAGGGGCAATGGGCACAAACTGAAGCAGAGGAAGCTCCAGCTGAAGATGAGGAAGAACTTCTTCCCTCTGAGGGTGACGGAGCCCTGGCCCAGGCTGCCCAGGGAGGCTGTGGAGTCTCCTTCTCTGGAGATATTCCAGCCCTGCCTGGACGCGGTCCTGTGCAGCCTGCTCTGGGTGACCCTGCTTGGGCAGGGGGTTGGGCTGGGTGACCCACAGAGGTCCCTTCCAACCCCTACTGTTCTGTGATTCTGTGGGTTCCGCGGCTCCGTGGGCGAGCGGCGTTACCACGGCAGACGCACAGCGAAACTGTACCTTGGCCATTTAGTGCTGATGTATAACAGGAATACTCTGGGGCCGAGGGCGAGAGGTGCCCCTTGGGAAGGCTGCCAAATTTAAACACAGTAAAAACCACTTAATTCCTAAGGTCTGTTTTAACTAATTTGACAGTATAGGGGAGTTCTTATTTCAAGTGAGTATTAAAACTCGTATGTTAACTCCATGTACATGTGGTCTTATATATGGTCAGATAGTTAGAAATGGTGAACATCTGCAACTTCTACTGTGGTGCTTCAAAAAGGAAGTATGTTTCTGGTGTTCAAATTCTTCATTAAACAGGCGGCACCACCAGCTGTGGAGTTTTTTGAGAAATAAGGTCAGTCACTGAGGAACATAAATATGAATTTAGCAGCCAAACTTTAGGCTCCTGCTTTTGGAAATCTTGATTTCACTTGCCAGCTCTTGGCTTGGATTGTGGGAGCAAGTGTATGAGAAAAGCACGTTTGCAACCAGCACTGTTTGCTTTTTTCATTTTGCTCCTTCAACCGCTTTAAGGACTTTACCAAGAAGGTTAAGTGCCTAAGTGATTTAGGTGCCAAGTGTCACTGCTTGGTTTATGTCTAAGAACTTCCCAAAATAAACATAAATGCTTTCAAAAATTGTTTTCTAGGACTTCAGGAAGTCTCTGGGATGAGAACCAGCACACAGAGTTAAGATTGTGTTTGACTTCAGCAACGGTAGAAGTTTAGGAATTTATTGTTTAAGCCTGTGAGAACAGCGCTTGTGTCAGAATTTCAATCAAGCTATGATTTTATGTTAATCTTGGAAATTTAACCGAGCCCTCTCAAAGCCCCTCTCCGAGGTCTCCGGGGCAGGAGTAGATGTAAAGCTGCTGTAGGTCGTGGAGGTGCGCCGTCGCCCGATGCCTAGCGAGGAGCCGAGCAGTTCTGAAGCCAAGTGCAGCGCGGGCCGGTCAGGAGCCGCGGCAGCTCTGGGCGCAGGCGGCTCGCTGCTACCCTGCACAGCGCGGGGAGGTACTCGCCTCTCGGGGCGAGGGAAGCAGCACCAACTCTCTCTCGGCGTCCTTCATCCAGGCGAGCTAAATGAAGAGTTCCACAGTGTGCTACATTGTGCTTTAGCTAGTCTGCCCTAAATAGTGCAGAACTTCTCTGGAGTTCTGGCCCAATAACTAATTTTATAAAGGGTGAATTATTAAACTAGCACTTAAGATGCAGACGTGTGTTTTCAGTGGTAGCAGTGAACCGAAGGTCACTGTATAATATGAATATCTGAGCTGCTGAGGAAACAGAGGTGCCAAATTCCTGGGTTTTGCTTAAACCAAGTTTTGAACAGGTTTTGTTTCTCCACAGCCTAATAAGCTTCTTGTTCTCTGGTTACTTTACTGTCTAGTGAAAGTGTTTGCTTTAATAAGTACCCGTAGCTACCTCGTAGCTCTGTGGAAATGATTAAGTGTAGAAACAGATTTGTAAAAGCGAATGTCAAAACAAAACATGGCTGTAGTGCAAGTGTTGACACATGCAGTTGCGTCTGTTTATAGGCTTCCGAGGTGTCCGACTGAACCGTTGGAGTAGGCTGTAATTCATCTTTGGATTATGGGTTTTGGACGTAAGCCTGCGACAGTTTTGTGTTGCCTTGGTTGGAGGTAAAAGTTAGATAAACAGTAGATGTCATTATTTTATCTTCCCTTTAAAGATACATTATAAAATGGAAACTCTTTTTGTAAAAGACATGCCTGTGCACCACAGAAAATCTACAGTACGCTAGAGTAACATTCAAAAATGATTTGAAAAGACTAAATTTTCCCATGAATTTGATACAAAGATGAGAGCAGCAGCCCAGGAGGTGGCCAAGAGCCAGCTGCCGGCAAGCCCGGTGCGGCTTTCTGCGAGGGCACGCGGCCGCCTG